AGAGCTCAACGAGCCACAAAATCCTAGCTAGCAAATCAACAGAAAAAAAAGCATCGTGTGCCGCTGGCTTTACGGAAGTCAGCGGGGCAGGAAAATTCGCTGTACACTAACGCCCTCCTAGAAAAGTTGCGGCCAGAGTAGGAAACAAAATGAAAAACGTACCGAAAATATTATTTAGACTCAGGATGCTGTTCCATGGGCATGGAAAACGGAGTCGGAAAGCTAAATAAAATTTTCGGAACGATGCTGATTGAATAATTGTTGATAATGTTTCTAAAAAAAATATTAAAATGTTATAAATGTTTCTTAAATGTTTAAACGTTTAAATGTTTCTTAAAATTGCTATCTGTTAAAGAATTAACTATATTTATATAATTCTTACGCTGTCGTGATGTTAATATCTTTTTTGAATATAAAATAATATATAATTTTCGTCTTCTGTAATATCTGATTCGGATGAATCAAATAATTTTAATTTTAATTTTAATTTTATTGATTCAATTAAAATTGTAGTTGTCAGTGCAATAATACGTGTGTATATACATTTAGCCACTAAGTAGCCATCTTGATAGTACTGCGAATATATATCGTTCCATTATAGGCTGGAAAAAGCAATGGAAGTAATTACGGAACGCCAGCACTGCTTTATGACGTCATGTTCTCAGCACTGGCAGTGAATATCGGAATGCAGCCATAATATCGATTTTCTCTTCTCTCTCTAATAGAAAAAAGTGGAAACTATGTCTATGGTAGGGATCATTACTCTATCATTACTCTATCATTCTATATCGTTTCGATTATATCAGACTAAATTATTAAATATAAGCACGCACCGAGCTAATTGGGCGCATTACAATTTGGCGTCGCTCTCCGTTTTCCGCAGATTTATTTTCAGAATCATTTTCACACATGAAGTAAACATGATTTTACATTGAAAAGAAAAAAAAAGCGAAGCCAGCAGAAATGGGTCTTTCAACAAATAAAATTGTCAATATGATTATTATGATTCAAGTATCAACAACTTCATGCACAGATGAATGCGACGTGAGTTGAGTTGGCATCCAGTAGAAGCGCGAATATACTGTTTGAAAATATTACGTCCAACATGATTCAAGAGCGTAAATTCGTAAATCCCGAAATACAAGATTAAACAACTGACGCATCAACAACTCACGGTCTTCTATTGGTTGGCCACACGATTCACATTAAATCGACGCCATCGGATGATTCGCGTAGTACTTAGGCGCGAATCATTCCCGCGGCGCGAGACACGCTTGAGAATTTCACGCAGAAACGCTCGTCGTTCGGTAAGAACACAACAAAATAATTAATGTGATATTCCAAATCGCTCCAAACCGCGCTTTTCAGAATGCGAATAAATCGCGCGAGATAATTGCTCACAACAATAAACGATCGCGAAATGACGGTCACGTTGCGTAAGCGAACGCATTCGACGATTAATACTGATACGAGATATACCTTTTTGATTTTCACTAGTCGCATTATCGTGTGTATCTTCAATGCGATTGTACTGTCCGTGAAGCGATTTACTCAATTACCTTCTCAGTATGACTATCAAGACGAAACTGATATCGCGATGCCTCTTGTAAACATGGCGCGTATGCGTCATACGTACACAAAAACAAATGTCTGAGCGCCGCGCGCCAATCGACACAATATTGTTCTCAACATGTCATCACAAAAATAATGTTATCGTGTTTCTTAGGTTTCAAACAAACTATTAGCTTTATATTCTACTTGGTGGGCTCCAACTTGGGGGTCAAATATCGCCTTGGATAATGAAGAACATCCTGCCTTGAAACCTAATCTTCTTATAGAATTCCTGGTAAGTATCTCTGATATTTCCAAAAAGTCGCTCATAATTGAATGCAAATAATGTTGTTTGAGACGATATTAATAAATCTCAACAAAGCAAAGGATAAAATATGCGACGACAATCTTCGAGATTGATTGGAAACTCAATAAAAAAGTTTCATTTCATTATTAAATATAATTATATATAATTGGATATAAGATATAATTATATATAATTATATATAAGGCATCACATATAACATCTCTATAAAAATGTGTAAATATAATAAAAAATATGTAATTGTATATTTTTATATATGAAATATACGTGTGCTTAAATAAAAGTATATATGCAAAATTTTTTATTGAGGTATAATAAATGTATAATAAATCTGATGGCTTTTAGAAAAAAGAATAAATGTTTATACATACACAACGGTTTTTTTCTTACAATTATTATTTGATTCACTATTAAAGTTTAATCCTTGAAGTGATAAAAATAAATAATTTACTGAAAGATAAAATAATTTTATCTTATTTTTTAAATTTATTTCATAATTGTATTTATACTTTTGAGATAAATTTGCAAAATAAGAACGTATTTTGTCGAAATTCATTCATCTTTTTAATTGCAAAATAAAATCTTTAGCAATTAATGATGCATGTTGCATTATTAACATATCCTGATATTTTCTTTTATAATATTATTAATATATAAATACTGATGATAGTTTAAGTTATAAAATTCATAAATTAAAAATAAAGAAAAAAGTGTATAGCGATAATTTGATATAGAGTTGACTCAGCAAAGTATTTCCGACAAATTGACATCTTTTGTCAGAGAAAAGCCTAAGGCGATCATTTTTTTTGTGGGGCCTCCTGTACTTTCAATTTATCCATTTTTTGCCGATAAATCGCAT